GCCAACACTGCCTGACCCCAGACTTCAGCCCCACGACGGGGCCAGCCCCACAGCCCCGCTACAGACCCCACAGAGGACAGGGCACGCCAGTACCCACTCCTGCAAACTGCAAAGCAAATGTTTATTTTTCCCACACGGGAGCCTCGGCGTAAGGCAATCCTTGGGCGAGGAGGCGGCTGCCGACAGTGCAGAGCCAAGGCACACCCCTCCATTGCAACACAGCCCTAAAGATAGCCACTGTCCCCTATGACTCCGGCCAGCGGCTCGGACCCCGCGGCACCTGCCGAGCCCACCGGGAAGCGGGGAAGCCCCCGGCGCAGCCCACAGCACAGACTAGCGAGCAGGTTTCACCGACCCCTCGTCCCTCTACGGCTGCAGGAGGGCAAAATTCAGGAAGGGAAGAGATTGCAGGAACCACCAGGGACGCCGAGTCCCGCTGCATGCTCCTCTGGTCGCAACGTCAGCGCAAAGCACCCCGTCTAAAAGGGGATGTGGCGAAAGAAATCCCCTGCTCCCGCAGCCGCGCAGCGGGTAACAGTGCAGAAAAGTCAATGGCGAGATTTTTAGCACTGCTTGGTTGAGCGTGGCATCAATCCGCACCGGGACAGGTATCGATGGGAGGAGGAGGCCCCCGCCACCAGCTTTGGGAACTGTCTCAGCAGGCACAGACGGCGTCTTGGAGAGAGGGGACAGAGCGTGGCTGCCCCAAAGCGCCGGGCTGAGCCGACTGCAGCTCAAGTGCAACCCCAGCGAGCACTGGACACCTCCGGGAAATCACAGCCGGACCCAGATGCCAACACGGGAGCTGCTTCCTCCCAGGGAGGGACGACCAGCGCCGCCGCTGTGACCATGGGGTGTGGGGGGACCCCCACTCCCCGAGGTTGCACCCACCTTTTCCCCTCTGTTGCAGCAGTAGGAATGCCACCGCGGGGGGGAAAAACACCCCAGTCCGAGGGTTGGGGTCCTGCTGTGGGGCAGGGCCCCCGCGCCCTCTGTGCCCCCTTCCACCTCCCAAGCCCGAGCCTGCTGTGGGCCCCCCGCTGCCCCCCAGAGCACCC